CTTAATGAAAGATCTCCACAAAGCAGCTAATTTATTCCCCTTTATTGATGCCTCTGTGTCTTGAAAGTGATTCTCTTCAATGTCACCTCTTTTTTACTCTTTTTGTGTGGTTAGGACACTTTGTCAGGGTTGGCAGCACAAGGAGGCTCAAACAATAGGGGAAATCTTTACTTGTGTTGGAAGAAAAGCTGCCCTTTGGATGATCCTGGAAAGAAAAGCTTTAAATATTGCCTGTTTCTTATTTTATTGTCACATCCCAGGCAGGACAGAGCACTAAAAAGTGCTTATTTAGGTATTTATATGTTTTTGGTGAAATTTTATCTGATTTTCATTAGTTTCAGGAGGTTATTTGCAGAGCTCACTGAAGCAATCATTAGCCCTTTTACGATCTTCAGTGGGAATCAAGCTAAACCAAAGGATATTGTTGGATAGTTGCAAGATTCCAATTGCTCTCTCTCCCTAGTTAAAAACAGCGAATTGCTGCCATTTCCTGATGCTAAGCTGAGTTTTCCTGCCTATTGCCCTGGTCCTATTCACTCGCACTGCTTAAGAACCCAATCCCACACCTTTGGCAGTTGAGACCCATTTCAATCCCATTTCCATATGAACACTGCTCCTCTTCTGGAGGAGGTTCAGTCTCCAGCACTCACTAAGCTGTTGCTGCAATGCAGCTTTCTTACTTTGCAGCTCAGTTGTCCTGCAGACAGAATAATATGTATTTTCACTCTAGGGAAGGCAAAGTAACCTTTTATTGCTGCAGCTCCTGGTGTTATAATAATTACTTTGATATTTCCTGCTGGGAAATGAGGAGAGTTCTCTAACTCCTGACTAACAGCACTTCTCACATCTCTGTAACCTAACTTGCTTCTTCACACAGAAGGAGAACTGGATGAAGAGCACTGGGGAAAGCACTTTCCAGACTGTGCTGGCAAGCACCAATCTCCAATTGACATCCAGAGGAAAAAAGTGAGGTACAACCCCCAGTTGTTGCAGCTGGAGCTGAATGGTTATGATGGACCTTTGCAGGGAGATTTCACCATGAGCAACAATGGTCACTCTGGTAAGACTGGGGGGATGTGAGGCTCATGGACACATTGGTTTAGCTGATGGGAATGGTAAAACATCTCTGAAAATATTTCATTTCAAATGAAATGGCTTGGTTTTTGAACTCACCTTACCTTGCTTTGCCATTTCACTCCTCTCCTAGTTTGATTAGGGGAAGCAGCACAAAGGAAAGCTCTCCAGAAACACGTATCTCATCCAGAGGGATAAAAGGCAATTAGGTTTCTGCAAGAGAATTTTTTTCTGTTAGACACGAAAAGGGGATAAAAGGCAGCTAGAGCATTCTAGATTGACCCTGTCAATGTGCTACAAGACAACAGGACTGCAGCAGTGAGTGGTATTTGGGGCATGCTGACTCCTCTGCACTCAAAAAGAGCATCTTTTGGCCCTGTGCATTAACAAGAAGTGACAGAAATGGAACTCTTTGCATCCAAGGTTCTCTTAGATGTAGGTCACACAAAGCACAGCCCAGAGGAGAATCCATCCCTCACAGCCAGAGCATTGGGAGCTCAGCAAAGGAAGCTGAAGCACAGCAGGGTTAAAAGCTTGGCCTTTGGCCACACAGTTGCAGGACAAGGCTTCTAATTTAGGAGATCCCAAATTCCCCAGCTGCAATCTGTAATTCATCACCTAAATAATTCATCAGCTGGAACTGTTGGGATAATGCTTCTGGACTACAGATGAGCACTGCCAATTTCCTAATGGCTGCAGAGGGGATGGAATGGCTTTGGGAAGGGGTTGGGAACAGAAAGCTGGTAGCTCTTCAATCCTGCACGACACTTTTTTCCCTCCCTGTAACACAGAGGGAAAAATATGGTGTGAGAGCAAGGAAATGAAGTGATGAGAGACCAAGTGCCTTCAGGGGGAGGTTGTTGGGATTGTATTTCTGAAACCTCTAACTCCTGGTTGTCTCCCACACTGAGTGTTCAGCTCAGAGCTCTCATGTCAGCACTGCTGCCTATACATTAATTCCTGCAGGTTTAGCTTTTCTCAGGGCATGTGTGCATTTGCCTGTCCTTTTGTTAGCTTCCCAACAATGATTTTTCTGGTGCAGGGCAGTTTCCTAAAGCACAAAGACAAACGACTGTCCCTATTCACAGCTCCTGTGAGTCAGGCTGGGTTTTTCTACTGGCTTCAGTGAGGTGGGACAGGGCAGCAGGATCTCTCAGGGGAAACACTCAGCAGATCTGAAAGGGACAGGAGATGGATTTATCAGCAGGACTCTCCTTACAGACTCTCAGGAGTGGAAAACCAAGTGTCTCACCTAAGAAACCAAACACATTTTCTCTCTAGCCGCATTGTTACCAGGCTAAATCCTCTCTGATAAAGCCTGTTTGCATTAGTGCAGAGGTTGTGTGCATACACACCCACAGATAGCCTTGACTTACTGAAACCTTTTGTGTTTGGACCTTTCTTGTTTTGGTTCAAACAGGGTTGGTGCTCTAGCAGGCACTGAGGGCACACCCAGCTCTGGGGAATGAAATGCCATCCTTGCAGGGTGTCTGCATCTTCCTCCAGCAGCAGATTTCTCCTAGAACTGGGACCTGGAGTGTGCCTTTATCTCCCTGGGGGGCAGAGAGATGGGAGGACAGGCTGTGAGTGCTGGCACTGCAGGGCAGTGATGGGCAGAGTCCAAACTGCAGAGCAGAAATGCTGCAGAAAGGCACAGATAGCTGATTTTCCATTGGCAAAGCTGGAGTGGAGCAGGATTAAGGCACTACTCATACTTTCCACTCACACTCCACCCAGGTGAAAAACAGAAGCAAATCATGCTGTTACCTCCCTTCATGCTCTCAGCAAATATTTGCTTAAAATATCCTATAGAAACCTTAAGCTTGTTATAAACTCACAACACAATTCCCTGACTGTGTTTTGTGGAAAGCAGAACCCACAGTGAGGCCCTTGAAGTAAATAACCCTCATTATGGGAGGCATGTAGCAGGGATCTTATGAAAAAAAGAGATGTTTGTGGGTTTTTTACCCGCTCTAGACCCTTTGGGATATCACAAGAAAACATATTTTCATCTTGTCTGTCTGTACACAGTTCACAAACAAAAGAAACTTCTCAGAAACCCAAACTGTGACTAATGAACCATAGAGTGTGCTGAATTTTGCAAGGATAGTTGCTATTTTTTTTTATAACATGCTGTGGACTTTCATCAGGATGAGGCAATTCTCCCTTTTCACTCCTGGATTTGGCATATTTATTAACAGAATATATGATTTGTGGCAGGGAATTAGCAGGAAGACAAATGGTTTGTGGCCTCTCTGTGAGTACTCCTTGGCAAGGAGAAGAAAAGAGATTTGTCTCTACAAATCCTTCAAGGAATAATACAGCTTTTTTTCCAAGGTACAAGCTCTCCCACTATGCCTGTTGCTAGAAGATGCAGAGTCCAGAGTGCTGGAAATCATGCTGATGGGTTAGATGAGGCCAATCACTTTGTTAATCTCTAGTCCTCTTTTCTTCCTTGGAAACGAAGTAGTTAACAAAGCTATGCAGAGCCCTGCAGGGCTGTGATGTGCTGTGCAAGAGCTGAGCATTAAAGCAATTTTATTAGTGCCTAATGACAACCCCAGAGCTGCTCAGATGGAGGAAGAGCCTGCAGACAGTGCCCAGTCATCCTGGTGCCTGCTGTGGGCTCTGAGCTGCACAAGCCTGAGGTCAGGAAAGATTTTAAGCACAACCAGCTTTATGCTCCAGTGTTTTCCCTTCCACCCTGCACTCATGACTGTGCCTGCTCCTTGCAGAGGGTGTTACTGCAGAAAGCACTAAGCCCTCTAAGAGCAACTGCAGGAATGGGCATGGCTGCACACATTGCTGTCCTCAATCCCTTTTTTTTTAAAATTTCAGTTCAGATCAATTTGCCACCCACCATGAACATCTCCAGAGGGCTCCCAGGCCTCTACACAGCTGTCCAGATGCACCTGCACTGGGGTGGCCTGGACCTGGAGACCAGTGGCTCTGAGCACACCATAGATGGGATGAGATACTTTGCAGAGGTATGTGTGAGAGGAGCAGGCTGGGAGGGTGATTGAACCTCTGCCAACTGGGAAATTGGAAGCTGCAGCCCCCAGAGGCTGCAGGGAGCAATGTGGAGAAACAGGACTCCCATAAGTGCAGGTGGTTGGTGCAATGAGCCTCACAGTGCTGGCACAGAAGTCTAAGAAAAGTCATTGCACTAGCACTAATGTCCTTCAAGGCTGGAGTTATTCCCCCACATTCATCACAAACCTATTAAACTAAAGGTCTCTCTGGCTGTGCTGAGTCACAAGCAGCAGGATTTGGGATGGTAACTCTCCTTTCAGTCTGTACTGGGCCCTCAAAAGCCCCAAGGAAACCATTCATCACTTCTTGCTGAATGACCCTGTCTCTCTCCTGACAGCTGCACATTGTCCATTACAACTCAGCTGACTACTCAAGCTTTGAAGAGGCCAAAGACAAACCCAATGGGTTGGCTGTGCTGGCCTTCCTGTACACGGTAGGTTTGTCACCCTGGCTGCTGAGCAGGGCCAGTCTGGGATCCCTGTTTGTACCAAAATCTCAGACACAACCCCTTGGGCTAAGCTTTGCACCTCTATCCCAAGAGATGATGTCTGCCACCAGTTTAAGAAGCTGCTGCTGACTGTTCTTTTGCCATGGGGGTTCATCCTACACCAGCCAATGCAACTTGGGGGCCCCAGACAAATTTGCCCCATAGGTGGTACAGATGGAATATCAGGTGTGGCAGCCTCAAAGCCTTGCTCTGATTTGCCAGTGAGGACACTTGATTATGTGTGGATTTAGAAGTGGTGAAAAAGGAACCTTACAGTTCACTAATCTGCCTGAGATCTATGTGTACATACCTGGTCATGCCTAGCATTGTCCAGCCTATCAGGAGATCAGTATTTGTTCTCTTTGTCTCCCCATTCATCAGTTAGTCCCCCCCAGGTGATCAGCAGTGCAGAAGTACAGACAGGTCACTTACCTGTTGATCAAGTTTCTATGCTGTGTTTAGGATGGACACTTTGAGAACACCTACTACAGTGAATTCATTTCCAAACTGGCCAGAATCAGGTTTGCAGGTAAGACCTGGGAATGTCTTTCTCTATCCCTAATATTCTCAAAGCCTGTACATACACACTGGGTCAGGGGACAGACATTTTCCTGCTGCTTTGCTGGCAGTTACATGGCCAAGCATCCACAGCCCAGCACAACTCCACACCATCCAACTGCAGCCCATGCAGAGGGTGGTGGGGAAGGTGCTCAAAGCAGCAACAGATATACTCCTGGTAGGTCTGTGCAACACACTGCAGCACCAGCTAACAGCTCCCTTCAGTCTGTACACCCACTAATGCTTCCTGGAAGGACCAAGAGGTCCTGGCAGAGCAGTGAGGTGATGTTGCCCATCACCCCCAGGTATCTCTAAATGACAAACGAGAGATGCTCTCCATCCAGTTCTGCCAAAGGTCTAACAAACCAGTGCTCTGGGCAAAGGGATTTGCCAACCTCAGCCTTAACAGCTCTTCCACCTCCCCATTAATTGCCAATATCACCTCTCTGCTTCCTTTTGAGGTCAATCAACCAAGCTCAATTCTCTGGATGTCCAAGCCATGCTGCCAGAAAACCTGTCACACTTCTACAGGTACCAGGGCTCCCTAACCACTCCACCATGCTCTGAGAGTGTGATCTGGACCATCTTTCACTCTCCAATTGTCCTGTCACACACACAGGTAAGTGGTAGCTGTTACCAGCTTCTTTTTCCTCCACACTTCACCTTTTCCTTCTCTGTCCTCCAGTGATTTGGGGAACAACCTGTCAGATGAGATAACAGGGCATTTCTCATACAGGGCTTTTGGGATAGATTCCTCAGCAAGTGGAATTACAGGTGGCTGTGATGCTACATCACAGCAAGGGTCAGGTTCTGTAGAGCAGCAGGTTACCTGAGGTCTGGTGACTGATAACAAAGCTCTCTGCTCACTTAAGCTCAGCCACCCTAAAGCACTATGAAAAAGAAGAGACCAGTCAGAATCAAAAAGGCAAAAGTACTGCAATAGAGTCCCCCTCCAAAAAACCATAAAAGAGCCTTCATGATATTAAAATAATTACAGAAGAATTGTGACATTTTTAGAAGGTATTTCAGGGTTTTCCCTTGTCTAGACTCACACTGAAAGGAATGCTTTTAAGTTAATAAATAATAAAGAAGTGTCAGAAACATTTTCTGCTCAGAGAAGAGCAAGATAAAATTGAGACTCACTAGTGGAGGATCACAGTGTGTTCTCTTTGAAAGAAAAATACTCTTTTTTTGGCAGGGGGAAAGCTAGAAGGCACTTGTGAGCAAGCTACAGAATAGCATCAAAATCTTCTTCCATGCACAGCATCAGGCAGGTGTTCAAAACTTCCCTCAGGCAGAATATCTTTATCACAAATTAGCTGATAGGAGCCCTTGTGTTCTGTTCCTTTCCCTTGCTAATACTCAGCAAGAGACACTATGGATTCATCTACCACCAGTGGTTAGCTTTTATCCTGAGCTGCAGGTAAAACAGTTGTTCCCATTGCCCTGTGTAACAGTCCTGCCTTGCTCCCAGATCAGCCTCCTGGAGAACACCTTGCTGGACTGGCAGAACAGGACCCTACGCAACGACTATCGCCACGCTCAGCCCCTCAGTGGGAGGGTGGTGGAGTCCTCCTTCCCAGCCAGACTCAACCAGGGTAAGAGAATCAGCAGGCAGGGCTTGGGCTCACCTGGGGAATCACAGAATTTAAGGGTTGGAAGGGACCTTACAGATCATCTAGTAAGGATGGGCAAGAAATCCACATAGAAGACATTGAGTTGCAAATCACTTTATTTGGATGTGCTGGAGATCACTTTTCCCAGGAGCAGCAGTGTCCCTGCACAGCTGGTGGAGATGTTCCATGGGCCTCTTCTTTCCCTGCCAACTTTGCTTCTAAAGGTGTAGAGATGCTGTAGGCTGTGCCAGCACTGTGTTCTGATTGTCACACAGATCTCCAAGTGGTGCTATATGGTGCCACATAAGGATCCTAAGCTGTGTCTGCATCCAGGTGGGTGAGGTGCATGAAACAGCTCTGGCATGGCTTATCAGCCAAGCACCACACACAGCAGAGATGATGCATTGTAAAACCAAGTTTTTTTCCCAAACTAGCAAATCTACCATGTGTAGGTCCCCTGACCTTCTCTAAGTTCATCTGTGTCTGATTGCTCTAGCACAATGTCATCCAGAAGAATTTACCTTCAGACTGGACCAAATCCAGATGCAGCTCCAAGAGATGAAGACAGAGTTGCTGAATGGAGTGAGCCACACGGGTAAGAAACACACAGCTATTGAGTCCAGCTTACCTTGTGAGGATGAAGAGCTCATGTCCTGCTCTCCTTGATGGTCTAAAACATTGACAGGTTTGGTACTGATACCTGCAGGTAGAATTTTATCCCAGATCTAGATCTGCTGATGGAAATTCTTCAACTTCTTCATCATTGAGGTCAAGCCTAATCTATCTACTCCCACAGCAACTGCAGCTTTCTCCTGCAACATGTGAGCACACTCTTATAGACAGTGAAAAAATTAAGTTCACAGTTCCCCCAGGATAAAAAAAATCATCAGCTCTATTTTATACAAGATGAGAAGAGAGGAAGGAGGGGAGAAAACAGCAATTTTCCCATGCAGTTGAGTGGGAGAGCTCAGCTTTTCATCACTTCAAGTCCCTTCCCTTTTGGCACAACACACACCAGTAACTTTGGCCCAAGACAGCTCAGACCAGTTCCTATGGGTATATTCTTCAGAATTTGGGCTTTTTTCTAGGCACAGCAGGAAATGTAACCACTGACTTTTTGTTATTTCAGGTCTTAAATCCAGCACTTTTCCAGCTTTCTACTTCCCTGCAGAAAACATTGAGAGCTTTGTGAATGTTCACCCCCTCCAGGATACATCTCTTCAAGCCTTCACCTTATGTTTCTGGACAAAAGCTCAGCACAGTGGCAGCCAAACCATTCTGTCCTACTCCACACAGGAGAGGGACAACGAGCTGGTGGTGACAGTGGGCACAGAGGTGGCACTGGGGATAGGAGATCATTTCATCAGCTTCCCCCTGTCCCACAAGGCACAAGATTGGCTGCACTACTGCGTGGCATGGGCATCCCAGTCAGGAATGGCAAATCTGTGGGTCAATGGAGCAGCTGGCAAAGAAATGAGCATCCAGAAAGGGTATGTGAGTCAAGCTGGAGGGACTTTTGTCCTTGGGAAAGACAGAGACACTCTTCTTGGGACATTCTCCAATGGTTTTGCAGGGTGGATGACTCAGGTGAACCTGTGGAGCCAAGTTCTCAGTCCTGCAGACATTCGGGCGCTCGCGCTGTGCAAACCAGGGCAGCTGAAGGGAGATATCATAGCATGGGGAGAAACCTCCATGGCCCTGCTTGGGGGGGTGGTTCTGGAGAGTGACACCAGCTGCCAGTGATCCCAAATTGGGTTTTGCTCCCAAGGCATCAGGAGAATCCAAACTGCTTGTTGGGGAAACTGAGAAAACTGAGATGATTTGCTTGTTTCTCCTCCTGCTTTGTATAGGCTCACCATGCACCTGCTAATGCTACAGGGTGTTTTTCTAGGAGAGCAAAGCCTCCAGGAGTGGGATAGAGACAAAGAACAGCAGAACTTGGCATTCTCCAGTACCTTGGGTTGTTACATCCCTCCCAGGTATTTGATTTAGATCCCCAGACATAGATCTTCCTACACACCAAAGAGCTGCTGTCTTTGGTCAAAGGAGCCACTTTCTCAAATAAACTTTCTCTCCCATCCTTCACCCAATCTCAGTTTCTCACCACCTGCCCTGCATGTGTCCTCCCTTCTCTCTCTCACCATCAGCTCCCCCTGCAGTCATAGCACACAGGAGGGGGATGTAAAGCCCTGGCAGGACAGCACACAGCTCCTGTGCAATCCCTGTCCTTTGGCCACTGGCATTTCTCTGCCTTCTTTTCTGAAATGAATGTAGAGACAGAGCATGGAAACAGCTTCCTTTTCAACACATATATATCCCAAATTTGAGGACAGGTATAAAACTCGTTTCCTAGGGTTAAAGTAAATCATGTGAAGAACTCTCCATCAACCACACAAAATCCATGCCAGGCTGTTCAACAATTTTGCTTTTTTTTTTCTTTTTTTTTTTCCCAAAACAGAGGGCAGCAGCCTCATATAACAAATCAAATGTAATTTCTCCATGCTGGTCCCTTCAAACACAAGAGTGAAAAGTTCCTCAGAGGAATATAGTGCAGTCCTAGACCATGACTGACCCAAACCCAGCCCAAGGGGTGGCTTGTGGCACTCAAGATGGGTTAGTCAGGACATACATCCCTTTATCACAGCAGTTTCTTGGTCATAGGAACTGAGCTGCCCCTTCCTTGTGGCAAGTGGTGGACTTGGCAGCATTATGTTAGTGGTTGGAATCAATCTTAATCCAGCCATGATGCATCTGTAATTCTGAGATCGGTATCAAAGGAGGAATCAAAGTATTTATTTTCCTACTGAACAGATCCTGAAGAATGTCTGTGCTAAGCCAAACTCTGGGCTGGATCACAGCTCACTGCTGGAGATCATTTTCTTCTCTTCTTGCCCATGTGGGACATCCTGGAAATCCTGCAGCTCATCTTTGTTTTCCTGAATCTCCACTTTGTTCCTTTTGGCCATGATCCTGTTGATTTCCATGAAGGTTTTGTTCTTAGTCTCAGGGACGACAATGAATATGTAAATCATAGTGGCAAGGCAGATGGCACCGAAGATGAGGAAGCTGTAGGGCCCCAGCCCAGCCTAGGGCAAGGACAGAAGAGAGCAGAGATCAGGGAAACACTCCAGGTGGGTATGGTACATGGCTTGGACATGCTGATCCCTGCATTAGCTATCAAAAAATGCAGCCACGGTGACGTGCACATATTTTAAGTTGAAAGACTAGAAGCTGGGGTGGTTCTAGATTCTGTCTTCTCCTACCACCCCCAAGGGGTTAATGGAAACACCATGGATTTACTAGGAAAGGAGAGTGAGGATACATAAATCAAACTCAACTCCCTTTGCAAGGCTGAAGTCAGCACCTGGAGCAGCTTATGGGTCATTGCTGCTGGGGATCAGTCAGAATTGGGGACCCAGAGAAGAAGAGCTAAATTTGGCTCCTTGAGACACATCTATCCCTATCCCCCAGTGGAAGATGGAGAATTTGCCATCTTTTCCATGCTCCTGAGTTCAGGAGGAGACCAATTTCTTGCCCTTAACATACCATCCTACACACAGATACTGGAAACCACCAAGGGCTCTTGGGATTAAAGACTCTCTGTAAGAACACAGGGGTGAAGAGACTAATTTTAAGCTGAAGGTTTGGCCTGTTGGGTGGTTCTACCTTACCTCCATGTAGAGGAACACAAGCCCCACGGTGAAGTTGCTGAGCCAGTGCACAGACCCACCCACCATAAAGGCTGCAGGCCGTGATGACTGCAGGAACAACTCGGAGATCATCACAGAGGGAATTGGACCTGGAAGGTAGGTGTGTATTTAGAAATCCCAAAGGCAATTCCTGTGCTCTGAATTCCTAATTACAGCAGTTTCTAAACCACTGATATTCAGAAGCAGCCAGTGAATCAAATAAAGATTAGGTTAGAAACAGAGCAATGGAATGACTTGCATGGTCACACAGAGATGAAATTCAGTCTCCCTGATGAGCTCCACAAGCTTTTGGGTCGAAACTGGAACATATAACACTTGTCTTTCCCCAGCTTGTGGAGGAGACTGGACCAGACTGTGCATACTTACTGGGTCCAATAGCATGTCCAGTGATGTAAATAATGACACAAGCTATGCTGAGGTAGGACATCCAGGAGATAGTGTGCTGTGGAGGATTGAGTCACAGGTTAGATGTGGTTCTCATCTGAACATCAAACATGTTCAAAGCACTATTTATACTGAGATCTGAAAGCATTCTAGTCACTTTCCATTGCCAGCTATGTCCCTACCTACACAATCACAGCCTGGATATGATCCTTGCTGCCAACAAATGGATGCAACAGATGTTATGATGTACTGGAAGTAATATTCAGACAAGCAGGATCACAGCTTTCCTGGCTTTACTTTAGGTACATATACAAGTACAGAGAACTTGCATATTGTCGCCTCTTCCCCAGGA